TGATGATGATGATGATGATGATGATGATGATGATGATGATGATGATGATGATGATGATGATGATGATGATGATGATGATGATGATGAAATGTTGAGAATGACGTGCAGGTTAATCTTGATGTTAATTTACGAGTACATGTATTTCTTTGTTTAGTGCTTACACAATACCCCCTTTAGGCGAGGTTGAGACACTTGCTTGTAGTGATCTTCCTCCTCTTAACAATTTAACAATTTCTCAGGTACTGACAGTGGTTGGTGACATCACAGATCAGAAGACCAGGGAGGAACTTATCAACAGAACCGTGGAAAAATTTGGAAAGATAAACATTTTGGTAAGGCAAGGCCGAGAACAAAGATCTTCTGGTCCTCAAGTTCTTAAAACGAACTAAGCAGAGAAATTAAACTTTTGCAGGGAGGGAAAGAAGTACTTCATTAAGAATGTAAAACAAAAACAAAACAACAACTCTCCCCCCAAATAAAAAACGCTACAAAACAAAATAAAACAAAACCAATTGTATTTACATCGTATGTATTTTTCTGTTGTTGCTTTTTTTTCAATATTTAGATTCTGATTTTAATTTTGACAAAATATTTCTAGAACACACAGCCGATACCACAGATTAGAATACTACAATTAACTCCTTGAGGACGCACGATCTGGTTATTCGACAAAGCTTGGAGATATGGTGTTTGGGGACATAATTTCATTATTTAAATGGACTTTTCGATTTTATTGTCTTTTCCCGAAATTCTAAAAGGCCTGCAACTGCATGCACACTATGAAAGATGCTAAATTGTGTTTCGTTTTTGTGTACGAGGGCTTAAAATGTACCAAAACATTACCTTTTGGTTTCCTGGTGATCGGATATATGTCCGCGTAATGCATTTTAATAGATGGCCGACGTTATGTTTTTTCACTCAACTCTCCACTCAACTCTTACAAATGTTTATCACTCTTTTATAGAGTAACAGAGAGATACAGAAACGACTGGTAAAGGGAGACCATAAGAAATAGATACAACAAGCTGGGCCCCCTTTCCATGAAAGGAATGATCTGTGCTTTAATATCAGCTAAAAGTCATTGGCCTACTATATTTATACTCTACTGGAATGGGGCAAAATATATACTCTCAAAACAAAATGCGCCTCGCGAAATATCACTTCCGGATTTTCTAAAATTACAGATACAGAAGCGTCGGCCTACAAAAGCGATCGGCGAAATAAAGAAATTTAGCTTTTTGCAGCAAACTGTCTCAAAACTGAAAAAACCAAGGGCGTCATGATCTGGAGAATATTTTATAGAATCTTTTGGCGAAAACCGCATGTCGATCGATGCAGCCATTAAAAGGCCTTTTGAATAGCAAAATTCGGCCACCGCAAATAGATAATAGAAGAGAAAAAGAACGAAATAGACACAAACACAAACACACACACAAACATACAAACACTCACACACAGAGAATACACACACAGACACACACACACACAGACAAGCACACAGACACACACTCACACACGCATACCCCAAATGCGTGCACGCACAGACAGACAGACAGACAGACAGACAGACAGACAGACAGACAGACAGACAGACAGACAGGCAGACAGGCAGACAGGCAGACAGACAGACAGACAGGCAGACAGACAGAGCAAGAGGTTGTATTATTTTGTATAATCATTTTACCACCTGTCGCTTTCTACTTTTCTCCAGGTGAATAACGCTGGTATATTCGCTCCCTGCCTCATCAAAGATATCGAAGAAAAGGACATAGACTTTCTGTTCGACCTCAATGTGAAGTCAGTGGTGATGCTAACGAGGCTGGCGGTTCCTCACTTGTTGAAGGCCAAAGGTATTTCGTTGATGTTGGGAACTATTACTATTACTGTCTCATCTTTTCTGTTATGCAATTGTTGTTGTTGTTGTTGTTGTTGTTGTTGTTGTTGTTGTTGTTGTTGTTGTTCTTGTTGTTGTTGTTGTTGTTGTTCTTCTTCTTCTTCTTCTTCTTCTTCTTCTTCTTCTTCTTCTCCTCCTCCTCCTCCT